ATACTAGTTTCCGTCCACTTGGGAGTGTCCCGATCAACGTACATCTAGAGACGCCCAGAGGAAATTAATTAATAGAGATCAATCATCGAATTCCGGCCGGCGGAGCCAGAGTCATTAGTCGTCCATAGAGGCTGTACGTCGACCGCGCGCGCGGGCGCGGTGTCGCGGAGGTCCGCGGGCTGAAATCACGGCCAAAATTGGGTTATGCTCGTATCAAAGCAAGCTCGATGATACTCACGCGTTAATTGCACGTTTGCGATGACTTTTTGCGCGCGGTCGCTGGTTCGGGTCAGGAAATCGCAAGATTTAACTTCAACAAAAGTGCTGAAGTTCAGGGAGCTGCATTCCGCGCCTTGGGCTATGCTACCCTAACTCGGGACTATGCTATCCTCCCTATGCTGGGACCCTCATACTGGCCTATCCGTCTGTTCTTCGCGTGCTTTCGCCGCGTCGTAGTATTCTGAATGGAGATTACTCTGCCCTGATCCAGAACTGCAATGTACGATACTGCCCTCGTACTGCCCTAGTTACACCACCTAGCCTCTCTCTACCGTGGTAGTTACTGGGAACTACAGGTGAATTACCACACCCAGCGATTTTCAAGTTTGGTAACTAGAGGCGAGGGTCATGATCCGCACAGTCCACTTAAATGACCATGGTGCGGTGTCCTGGGAAACACCGTTTTTTCCGTCCTGCTCCAGTCCGATGGCACACAGGGCATTGGCTAGGCAGCTCAACTATCGCCGAGCGCGCTATCGCCAACTATAATCACATCGCATCCAAGGCAAAACTCCCCGTATTCAAGCAGTGGGCTCGGCAGTGGATAAAAAAGACATGGATTTTGTATAGTGGCTCACTGCTTATCTTTTACTGACCCTCTTGTAAGCGTACTTCAAAGCAGCTCAGTCAAAACAACGCAAAAGAAACGGAAGGTTCAGTTGCTGCTTTCGTTGGATAACTTTGCCGCAGATATCTGAATATTTTTGAATCGCTCTTTTTGCTGGATAGCGATCGCATCACTTAATTGCACCTCCTTGATTCTGTTTTCATCGCGGAGTTGTTCAACGAGCCGAAGTTTGCGGTCGAGCTCAGTAAACTGTTCACTTTGCATCTTTCGCAAGCGCTCCTCTTCAGACTCCAGGAGATCTTGCTTCATTCGACGTGCTAGCGCAATACGCATCATCGCACGTCTATCATCAGACTTGTGCCCTATTTGAGATTGAGCCTCATCGGAGTTCGCTTTCATGCTATCACAGCGGGAGTTACGACTTGGTAATGAAGGTCTAGTCTGCACGTTTTCTTTGCGAGCCTTAAGTACCTCGTCGTTGCGCTCTGCATTCTTCTTTGCGAGGATCCGATCTCGCTGTTCCTGGAGCTTGAATTGTCGTCTTACAATATCATCGGATGTTACGCCAGCTTGTGCTTGCATTTCGCGCTTTTGTGTACGACGCTCCAGAAGTAGAGCTTGATTGCGCCTAAAGGCCTGCTCTGCGGCTTGTCGTTTTCTACGCATATCATCTTCAAGCTCGAGAATCGATGGGAGCTTTGTCTTTGCGCTCGTCGTCATTACAGGGTTGTTTGATTGAAGCACGTTGGGGATGTCATTCTTTTGGTCATTGGCTCTGTCCGCTCTCCGTGAGCCATATTTTTCATCGTATTCCTCATCAGACACACGCTTAGGAAAAGCCTCGCGGCTCTCTACGGCCTGGGTTTGCTCCGCCTCGCTAGCGTTGTATTTTTGTTGAACGGCATCCTCTTTGTTCTCTCTTGGGCGCAATTTTGATTCTGCAAGTAAGGGGATGCTTGCATCATGGTGTCCGCATTCGCTGTCTGGAAGTCCACCTGGCTCTTTCTTTTTCTCAGCTTTACCGATTTCGGGCAATTTCTGCTTGATCTCACATTCATGTCTTCCTAGGCCCTGTATACGTTCTGACTCTATCGCAAGGGATTCTGCTATTGCCTACGTGTTTATCATCACAATTCATACGTGGTTGTTACGGGGGTGACCTGTTCCAACTCAAGTTGCTCCATTTCTTCTCGTTTGTGTAGCAATTCCATCTCCATAAGATTTTGATCTATTGCCGCACGAAGATCTTTATCCACAACATAACCTTGATCCTTCTCCTCGCGAGATTCGACAACCTCGAGCCCGGGCCTTGACATAGGCTCAAATGCCTCATCCTCTGACTCCTTCACTGCACGTTGGAATTGTATTTCTGCCTCCTGTTCGGTTGCTGGCGCAAGAATAGGTACTAGCTCCTTTTGGAGTTCCTGCAAGGCCTCATACCCTAACTCGACATTGCGTTTGACCATCAGTTTTTTGAACGTAAGAAAATCATCCATAGCCACCATTTGCTCGTAGACCTGCCGCGAGATGTAGGGACGAGTATCTGGTACCCACACTCACCTCACGATTGATGTCACGGCTATTACGTGCTTTCTCACAGGCTACCACAAACTGATCAACGGTTATCCCGATTCTTCCGAGCTGCTCATCGATAATGTCCTCCACAGTCGCTACGAAATCTCTATGAGTATTCGAGTATTCAAACTTATTCTCTTCATCGTTCACAAATATAGCGCAGTTATTGTCAATGAAACCCATAACGGCTGCATCCCACTCTGTGGATTTGAGAAACTGAAGGACGTAATCGAAGATCCTGAGATCGTTGGCTCATGATGATAACCGCAATAAAAATGTATACCAGTCACTATTCGCATCGGATTTGATCATCGTCGTGGCGAGCGGTACGGCTTATCTCTAAACTACGGTAATTTCTCGCAAAGATACTTTCCCCTTCTTTATAATGGGGTGTACCACTTCTTCGAGCAAAATCGAAACAGAGGTAATCAATACAAGAGTGCCAAGCAACGCGCCGCTCCAACCTGCACCATCACCCTCGCATTCTGAAGTGATTACATCTTCTTCTTCCGCCATCTTGAAGACGGAACGTGAGAAGCAATCGACGGAGCGCATTTCCTGGCGCAAAGGAGATCTGATCGGAACTGGGGCTAACGGACGGGTCTATCTTGGTCTCGAAGAAGATACAGGCGCTATCATAGCTGTGAAAGAAATCTTGTTCACAAATAACCAGTCCGTATCCGCATAGCGAAGTGAGACGTCAGTATATGGGTTTTAGGCAAGATCTAGAGGAGCTCGCCCAGATGCAGGAAGAAATCGAACTTCTCCGTTCTTTACATCATCCTAACATCGTCACTTACCTCGGTACAGATGTCTCTGATGATGATCAGACACTCTACATTTTCACCGAATGGGTACCTGGCGGTTCCATACAGGTCCAGCAACAGCGCGGTCTTGACGGTTTATGCCCTCTACACGTGTTCACAGGCACTTGTGACTAAATTCGGAAAGCTTTCAGAGGCTATCGTGCGCAAATACGTCGCGCAATTGCTTGTTGGTCTTGACTACCTGCACGAGCAGCAGGTTATCCACCGCGACATTAAAGCAGCAAACATCTTGGTCGACGATCGTGGCACAATTAAGCTCGCAGACTTTGGTAGTTCAAAACGAATGGACTCGATGGGTACGATGGGCAACGAAAATCACTCACTCCGTGGGACGCCATATTTTATGGCGCCCGAGGTTATCATGCAAACAGGCCATGGGAGGAAGGCCGACATCTGGAGCGTTGGGTGCACTATTCTGCAAATGGTCACCGGGCAGCCTCCTTGGAAGAGCCTCCAACTTGGAACACCTGCCGCACTGATGTTTCATATCGCCAATGCACAAGCCCCCCCACCCATGCCGCAAGCCCACTCAGTGCCAAACATGAACTGAGGCATAGCCTCACCTGATGATTATTACCCAGGTCTGCGCTCTCCGATCACCTTCGTAATCTTCTTCTGGCAACATTTTCAAGGGACATGAACAATCGCCCAACTGCCAATCAGCTACTAGAGTATCCATTTGTCGTGGCAAATGGTGCATCTGCGGAAGCCATTGCGGCTGGTGCCCAGGGGCTTCTTGAGCGCCAGAATGCACCACCCGAGGTTCCACAACGTGAGTCTACGCCGCTACGAGCTGGCGTTCCGTTCGCTACAATGGATCAAATTCACTCGGTTGAAGAGGCGGCAGATCAAACACTAGCACGACAAGCCACTGGACTCCTAGGTAACGCGCTTCCGTTATAAATTCAATACAAGCCACCAACAGGTGACGACGCTGATGCTGCGCGAGGCTTTCAGTTGGAATCATTTCGACTGCCTCCAAGTGAGGATGTGAACGCAGCGCATGTTAAACGAAGCTTGCCTAACGAACATTTTACGAAGGGGACATATAAGCCTTCCAGTGACAAGACAGAAGATAATCTATCCAAACCCAGCAACTCTACGAGCACTATGCAAGTTGGTGACGACTACGAGACACTAGTAACCATGTTCATCTGCAAGAAGGCAGCGGCACAATTCGCAGGCGCAGACAAACATTTTCCAGGTCGGCCTCCAACAGCACGACCTCGTGGTGCTCCACCTCCAAGGACCGCCCGGTCCAGCCAAGATAAATCAATTCACGATTTAACAGCCACATTACCTGCACGTCCAAATAATCGTGATAGAATGCGACCAGATGCTAGGGGGGGTAAGAGCCCACTACTGATGGAGCAACTCCCACCGCGGAAGCAACAGAGCTTATCGAGAGTCAGTCACAACTTTGGCAATTCTACCTACTGTGGTGGCTTGGAATTTCTTGGTTCCTCCAAAAGAACTTTGACCGCACACCCCCCCCCCCCCCGAGATGCAAGCCATGGCGACTCTTGTGAGACCCTGAATAGCACGGTCGTTCAAACGAGGTCGTTTGCCTGGGGTCGTACGCCCCATGAACGGAACCATGAGGACCAGCCTATTGTGACAGAGGCTGTGCGCTCCACATGTCCTCGCTAACACTTCTGTTTGTGCTATTTTTATGATTAGGTTCGTCGTGAGCGTAGTGCAAGACTCGAAAGCGCAAAACAACAGGCAGCTCTGGACAGGCAGCGTGCTCGCAAGAATGAACAGTTCAAGCAGGAACTTGAGACCTTCAAACTAGAACAAGCGAGCGATGTCTAGACACGCTTGCTTCTTTCCAAACGTAGCAGCATAAAAGCCGCTGGAACCATGAGGGTCCTTTGCATGCGCTCCTGGCGCCAAGTAGCAGCCGCCTAAGGGCGGCTTTGTGTGTGGGGGCAGCCGCAGCGGGGGTGACTCTGGTAGGACAGTAAGATCGCCGGGCACACACATGGAGTGCCACAGCGCACTGGTCGTAAGTTGAGCTAGATTTGGCAGGTAATATCTATCGAAGAGAATAGCTCTAGCCAATGTCAAAAAATTGTAAAGCCCTTCAACTAAGCACTAAGTAGATGTCACTGTCCACACTCCCCTAGTAGCCTACTCAAGTAGGGTCACTAGCGCGGGCTCTCAGCCTGGTTAACACCAAGGCAGCTAGAGAGTTTTCCTTAGTTAGAGAAACATGAGAGTATCCCTAGTTAGGCCCCTCCTCTCCCCTCCGGGTCGTACTTTAATTCTCCACGGTTTATGCTAAGGGGAGTTGCGGGGCTGAACCTGAAAAGGGAATTCCTCGTAGTCAGTATAGTGAACTTGCAAAAGGGATCTATCTGAATTGAGTACCTTTGTGATCCACCATCATCCCCATAATCATGATTTACACTAGCCTGCTCCCTCTCTATCACTTCCCCGTAACGTTAACATCAACGTCCCTTATTACCGTAGTTTGGGGTATTTCTCTCTAGGTTATGGTTGCCCTTGCGCGTCCATCTCCGTGAAAGTCGCTGCCCGCGCGGCTTATCTGTTCGCGCTCTTCGTTTTAGCTCGCGCTCCGTGCTTGGTAAGCAGGGGGGTGTTATGGAGCTTCCGCCGGATGCGGTGGCCTTTAGTTCTTACCTAGCACTGAAAAAGAAGCTAGCAGCACAGAATGTTACCAGGGTCAACGCCATTATATCAGAAATGTCGAGGATGATGATGCAGTTCCAGACTGGATGGCGCAGCCACCCCAGCAATAAGATGAGGGCAGAAACCTCTATCTCTCTACATCATTCCCCCATCCCCCGAGCCTGGTCATACTTAAACGCCAGTGCTATAATAACAGTTGGACTCCCATCGGAATACCCTGTATCAAAGGAGGGAATTCTTAGACCCTGGCTCTGTACCAGTGGCCCTTCTAATCGTGTCGTTGCTTGGGTGGTGTACGAAGGACCAAGGCCTTGGACACGCGTTTGGAACTGGTATTTAACGAACACGAGCACCCGTGATGCAGCAGCTGTGAGCGAGGTCCTAGGTCAATGCATCCACCCGCGATAGCTTACTCGCGGAATCAGCAATCGGTTCTTGTGCTCCTTTTCCGTGTCTTTCAGGCTGTAGCCTCAAGATGGGAGCATGAAGAGCGATAGTGGCCTGAAGAAGTTTCTTGACCAACGTATCAGAGAGTTGGACGCATATCTGGAGTTCCTGTGCTCTTATTTGGTCCTCATTCAGAAGAATGACTGCATCTATGCTTAGGTTCCCGGTGAGAATTTCAGAACTCGAGACCATTCTCGCAGCATTGGCAAGGGCCACCTCTTTTGGCTGGAAGGGTTGCCCAGCAAAACCAGGATGTTTGAACCAATTCGAACATGCAACTGCAACCGGGCTGCTTTGTATGCAGCATCTCTCGATGAAAAGCTCAGCAAGCGCATCAAAAACAGCGTGGCGATGTATTTGGGCTTGCTCCAAAGTGCCTTTGAGGGATAGCCTATCCACTTTTGGAGAGATTACAAAAAAATTAAGAGCCGAGGCATCACAGTGCTGCTCCATATCAATAAATATTTCGAGAAGACTTGACGCGAGTTCACGAGCACTTTGATTTGCTGCATCAGCGAGGTCATAGGCAAGTGCCTTCGATTCCTCGCCACCAGAGACGAGCCATGCGGCGTAAGCACCGACAGCCGTGGACCAATCACAATCAGAGTGCTCCAGCATGGAAGAATCTGGTTGTATTGGTGACACTAGTCCCTTCTCGCGCGATGGCGCAAAGTCGTAAACGCCAAGCTCATCATTGAAGAGAACTGCATCAAAGAAATCGGCCGAAACGATTGGATCATAGTTCCGACCTATCCAACTGGGCTCAAATTCACATGCTGCGGCAAAGCTTTCCATGAGCAATCGGTGGAAAGTTTCGGCCATCATGAAGTCAGCACTTTTTGGGTTGGAAACTGATTCCGCACCCCGATTAGCTTTATCCCATCGTGCATCAACCTGGCTAGCGCTCTCGATGACATCATATTCGCCAATACGCAACAACATTGAATTATCACAAAGGAGTGGATCCAGGAACATTGCATCATGACGTGCAAGCGGCGTTGGCGCATTGCACAACAACCTGAAGCTAAGCTCTTTCGGGTTTTGCACCTGCCGTGCGGACTCCCAATTCGGAGACTTCGAAACTTGTAGAGGGAAAGCCAGTTGTTGATCTTGAATCAAACTATCATGTAAGTTTGGGGCTTGATAAATTCTGGCCTCTCTGATACCAGTGTCTGTATCCATAATCTCAGAATGTTTGCTCCCCGTTGAACGGAATGCCGATAGCTCTTGAGCGCAAGGTTCGCATACTTCGTTAGATGCATGTGTTTCAGCAGCACTTCGTAGGGGGAACGCGGTACCGGGATAGACTTCCTCTACAAGATCATAATTGACGATGTTCTTGACAACTGTGCTGTGGTCTAGCTTTATTTGCTTCACTGGCGGCGCGGCTTTTTTTCGCAGAAATGTGTGCAAGATCAAGAATTTTCTCACTTCAGCTGCTTCGACATAATCGTATGAACTGAGGCCGATTAATTTAGCGTATTCATCTGAAAGTTTTTCATCGTCGCTGCGAGAGCGAGCACTATGATTTTTTTCGGCAACATATCCTCGTGAAACAACGACAACTGCATCACCGTTGAGATTTCCTAGACACTCAAACGGCCAGGTCGAAACGCTTCTCGCACATGGGGAAACGCTCCCCTTTAAAGATGCTCTAAATACAAGTGAGGAGAATGAACCCCCTACAGAGACGTTTTCCTGTTTCTCAATCAGGTTTGCATTAAACTCTCTTTGATGGAGACAGTCAGAGACTGCCCCCATCGGTTGAAGCATATCTACAGGGTGGTCTGCTCGCAAATTCGGAAAATTCGGATTGACGTCGAGCGAGTCAAAGAGAGCAGCACCGCCATTGGTGCTTTCCGCGTGTTCCAAATGGTCATAGCAAAGCGAGTCGAGAGCTCTGCCAAGAAGCGACCCAACCTCAAATGTGATCGTCTGCTCAAGTAATTTGTCTATTGCGCATTCAACCGGGTGGACCTCAGAAGCCTGTCTATGTTTCGAATTGATTTGCGCCTCGGCTGAATCAAGTTCACACTGCAACTCGTCTTCCACAGTTTTAAGAGCATGGTGGTGATGTTTGCAATCTAAATACGGACAAAGCTCTGCTGAACGATGAGGTGCTTCAGGTTCCTCGTTTGATTGTAGTACATGAAGTGGGGGGGGGGCAAAATCAGCGATTGAGACTTGCAGGGAACGCACGACATCATCCAGAGATTCGTTAGATGCAAGATGAGTGTCAGTAGAGGAATTGGTGGGATTTGTCGTCAAATCTCTAGAAGCGGATGCTACCATGGATGTACAATGACCAACAGAGGCTTCTAGAATAGCCATGCTATGTTTTGGAATCAGAAGTGTTGCTAAATGATCATCCGACGCAAAATCATCAGGTGGATCAACGATCTCTTGTACTGAAACATAATTATCGCCCTTGGACGTGTTTGCAAGTTTGCCTGCAATTTTGAGGGAATGATCAATTGTCCAAGGGACACGAATAAAACGCCCTGGAAGTGCAAGATCAAAGTCACCGTCATCATACTTGACATCATAAGCTACAGCGCCTTTATGGAACCTGGTGACACGACCAAAGAACCAAATATGACCTCTGCCGAACTGGGCTTCGACTTTATCACCAACACTATGGACTGCCGAGCATCTCTGACATAGGATGTTGCATTCGGGTCCTTGCTTCTGCGCGATTCTCGATTCTGTTATGGTTTTGATCTGAGACGCGCTGTGCGCTTGTTCCGTGCCTAAATACGAGTCATGTTTCCCGCTTCCGTTCTCTCCTTGACTTGACGCCTGCCCGCCATTTTCGAGACCAGCGTGGGCGGGCGTGGCACATTTTTCTACCCACCTGTACTTTCTATTGTGGGCTGGCAGCATCCCCACGGCGAGTGATCTGAAGTCACACCTTGCTTCATGACGCCTTATGTCGGCAAGTAGGGAAGTTGCACATGCAACAAGCATGTATTCATGTGAGAGCACAGCAGAGCTTTCTATCTCAACCTGTGATGCTGATAAAGATGGTAGTGAAAATAATCGATCAGATGTGTTCTCAGAAGTACTAAGCATGTTGCCACTGGCTTCAGTATTTCCTATTGAGTTGATAGTGATAGCTGGGTGCGGTAATGTAGTCACCCCAGGTGCCGTCTGACGTGAGAAAGGCACAATAGTCAGTGATTGTTGCACCCCGGGGGACAGAACTCTATCGGAGAATAGACTGGCTATTGTCTCGCAAAGGGCAGCCTCATACGCAGCACGCTGCCTTGCGAGTTGGATACGGTGAACACGAATCGCCTCGCTTGCACGGGATTTACTCGCAGTCTCGATTCGTTTGCAAGTCAGCATGGCAGCATATCGCTCAGAAACATCAGCGAGCTTTGAACGAGTCATACACATAGCAGCCTGCCAGCGCAGTTCGGCCGTCAGCTGGTGCTGCAAGCTACTCGATGAACGCGCACGCTGGACGTATGGGCTCTCCGCTTTCCCAGTCAGTGCCAGTGTAGATAGAAGCGTGTGCCTTGTCACAACCAGAGCAGTGCTAGAGCTGGTGTTATCTTCTGGTCTCCAGGTGTGGGCCTCTGGAATTAGGTCACTCCTCTCTGCATTTTCAGCACCCGCAGCCTGGATTGAGGTCACCTGGGCTAATTCGCGCACCATGCTTCGAGCAAAGCGATTGATGATGCACACGCGGTCTGACACTGATGGCTTGCTACTATGGGATTGCAAAGAAGGCAGCATGCGTACGTATTTGGATTTATTCTTGGTGGTTCTATCCTCGGAGGTAACGCGGCCACAGACGCCAAAAAATTGATGGAGGCAGCGTTGATCAATTAACGAAGAAATCGAATTTGTCGAGTTTGATATCTCGCTTGATGAAGTAATCATATCTTTGGGTCGCCAGCGACGAGCTTTTTCATTATTGGGCGCTTTGTCATCCTCATGGTATCTCGCGTCGCCGCCTTGTCCGTCTAGAGCCATGGTACCGCAACCAACCCAGCCTGATGTACCAACACGGTCGTGATCTTCCTTGGTCCGTTGCCAGCGGATGGCCCTAAAAGCGAGCTTGTCCACATAGACATCGAGCACTTGAACTGCAAGTAGAAGTCGCCGGATTCTAGTTTTGCGCGAATTCACTCCGTGGAGCTCAACACGAGATTGGCCGTGAATTTCGGATCCATCGATGATTTCACTAAATGATGCTCCCCGGGCGAAGTTTGATGGCGTCGTTGGTTGCCCTCCGTGATCGGAGCTTGACGGCAACACACTCATCGGAGGGTTCTTCCTATTGATAGAACAGGGAAAAGATGTATTGGCTTCTACGAACCGGGCCACAAGGCATCGATCAAATGTTGATGCAACAGTGTTTTTGAACGATTTTGTTTCTCGACGTGCTTGCACGCATTTTTTGCCGAGTCTTCTCCCACCCAGTGGCCCTGAGATTGTATGTGGTCGCATGTCCAGGAATTGAAGTGGGTCAATAGTACTGTAAATTTGCTCCCCTTTAAATCGACCACTCGAATATATCTTCTCACTGCCCTCTCCGATGACTTCAAAGTCTGACCTGACAGAAAGGGAGCTTGGATTTGCAAAGCCGTGCGAATCTGCCTGGAAGCAATGACGAAGGTGTTGAGGTTTGGTATGGGATGTTTTCATAGCACTGATTTGGTCGTTGATAGCTCGGATTTCTTTCTTTCGAAACTTCCTCCTCTTTGAGACTTGGAGAGATCCCAACTCACTTAATATCGTATGGGGTACGCGAGAACAAAATAGCTGTTGTCTGCCAACGGGGATCGGTCGATAGACGAGTTCCAGCGCCGGTAGAATGTAGCACCGCGGCCGCTATCGTTTAGCTAGCTCGGCCACGATGGCAGGAATGACGCTCGCCGCGCGCCCGTGCTATCGATGGCATAAATCACCTCGTGGCGTGCTATCGATGGCCGGCGAGACACAAAAAATCTGCGCCGAGCTCGCGCATATGAAAAAAGAAGACTTGTTAGTCGAACATTTTAAGTTATCTTCGATTAGCCGGCGCCCAAAGGAGAGAGAACGCGGATCAAGTATGTTACATCGAGCCAAAGGCGGAGGAGTTCAGAAAATGGGACCTGACATCGGCCAACTTAGATTCAGATGCACGCATCATGCCATGAGAGGTGTTTTTCAGCGGGAGCCCCATGTTTAATTACGCTCACCATATGAACATGCATTACCCACCTCCCGCCGGCGACCAATCAACGAGCTCCTTTGTCGTTGGTTGCCGCGCCACGCGCCGCTGGGCGATCGCTGAATTGCCACACCGCGCGCGTGGGACCGCGCGGCGCCGCGGTTCGACCGGGAGTCGCCGGTGCCGCTGCAGGAGTCGCAACTGTGCGGCCGCGGGCCCGCCGACAAACGCCGGGCGCGGCCCGACTCGACGAGGACACCGCCGTGCCCCATGGCACCTAATCCCGACTCCCGGTGCGACGCGGGACGCGGGACGCGCGCGGCCTCCACATGCGCGCGCGCGCGTTATAAGTACCCTTTAAGTGCACTTTGGATTTTTGAAACCCGACCCCCGGGCCCACCCACCCACTGGGGGATGCCGTCGGATCTTTTGTCCGTGGGTGCCTCCTGGGTCCACTGCGGTTTTTTAGAGTTGTGGACAAACTGTCTCGCTAGATTGATCAAGTGATCGCCGGGCCGGGACACAGATCAGGGGCTGTCCTAGTGACCGATGAGCGGTATGGATCTTGGCACGATTCTGCTTAACGCGCAAAGCCAAGGTATCTCTGCATTCAAAGCGTTCAAGTTATTCTCGCTACTTAGACCTTAACGTGAGGAACTTGGCGGAGCAGCAACTTGCGCATTGGGAAGCACAATCCCTGGTGAGATTCCTGGTTTCTCGTACTCCGTGGTGATCGAATTCCTTTTAGCCTCAATTCATGATCGGCCTTGCCAACGAGCTCGCAGGGGAGGGCCACAATGAAAGTTCGTAAGAGATGATCGCTGTTCTTTCAATTGTAATAAACGTCATCCCTCATCTCCTTAGGCGTCAACTTGCGGGCCTTCACTTGAAGAATTTGTTGTCTGCGAGGGATGCCAATACTGCCGCTGAAAAGAAAAGGCGCTGGTACACGGTCGTAGATGTCAATTCAAGGCTACAGATTAAAGCAGCATGTTTAAATGCACTGAAGTCACCTGCTCTCGGAGCAGCTCACACCGGTGCACAGGTTGTGGCAAAGATAGGCGCAATCGAATTACAGGGAAAACAATGGCCAGAACTGCTCGGCCATTTGTTGAAGAATATGACAGCGGTGGAGGTTGTAGATGGTGATCTACTTAAAACCGCGACACTTGAGACACTTGGTTACATGTGCGAAGAACTGGAAGATGAGTCAGTGGATCAACTGGAGACAAACCAGATACTGACAGCCATTGTGGATGGTATGCGTGAAGATCGCATTGATGCGGTGAGAGTTGCGGCGGCTCAAGCCCTGTTGAATAGTTTGATTTTCACAAGGCACAACTTTGATAACGAAGCAGAACGCACAATGATCATGCAGGTCGTTTGCAGTGCGACAAAGAGTCTGAACGAGAGATTGCGTGTTACCGCATTTGAGTCACTTGCTCGGGTAGCATCTCTGTACTACGAAAAATTACCGCAATACATCGAAGCGCTATTCACATTGACACTAACAGCGATACAGCAGGACAAAGAAGAGCAAGTATCGATGATGGCGATTGAATTCTGGTCGACGCTGTGCGAGGAAGAGATGGAGATTATCGAAGAGAATGAAGATTCTCGGACCTCCCAAGGACCTCGACGAGAATGCGCACAATACGTGCACGCAGCAGCAGCTCATGTGGTCCCCGTGTTGCTTCAATCGACCCTTGTCAAGCAAGATGAGAATGCTGATGAAGATGCCTGGAATATTAGTGCGGCTGGTGCCATCTGCCTTGGCCTTGTCGCCCAGACAGTAGGTGATGCTTTGGTAGCTGATGTACTTGCCTTCGTCGAGGCAAATATACTGCATGCGGAATGGCGGCGGCGTGAAGCAAGTATTATGGCCTTTGGTCAGATCCTTGAGGGGCCCAAACCTGAAACACTCGCCGGACCAGTACAGACAGCAATGCCGGTTCTTGTACATGCGCTGAATGACGAACACGTGCTAGTTAAAGATACGACAGCTTGGACCCTAGCGCGGATTTGTGAGCTCCACGCACAACGAATTCCACAAGGGTACCTCCAACCTCTTATCGAACGGCTCAGTGGCGCATTGCATGACTCATCACGAGTTGCAGCTCAGGCTTGCTTTGCCATACACAATCTCGCACAGGCTTTTGAGCATGCGCCCAAACACGGAGAGACGAATGCGCTCTCGCCATTTTTCCATCCCCTACTGACACAGCTTCTTGCAGCAACAGAGCGTGGTGACTGGCAGGACCATAACCTCCGTGGCCAAGCTTATGAGGCAGTGAACATGTTGATTCAGAATCATGCGCCAGATACACGGCCTATTGTTGTCCAAGTCCTGCAGGTTGTCCTACAGCGCCTACATGCCACGTTTTCCATGGCGATCGTATCGCAGGACGATAAAGACGAACGCGATCAGTTACAAAGCCTTCTTTGCAGTGTTGTACAGGTAATCACACGTGGCATTGACAAAGACATTATGCCATTTTGCGATCATACAATGACATTATTGTTTAAAGTATTGAATAATCAGAATGCTGTTGCATCCGAGGAAGCTTTCATGGCAATTGGGGCTGTAGCATCTACGATTGACAGAGAGTTTGAAAAGTACATGGTAGACTTTTTTCCACTTCTAGTCAAAGGGCTGCGTAACTATGCTGAGTGGCAAGTATGCTCGGCTGCTGTTGGTACTACAGGTGATATATGTCGTGCCCTCGAAATTCAGTTACTACCGTACTGTGATGAGATTGTCCGATGCTTGCTTGAGAATCTACAAAATCCTGCACTCAATCGCCAAGTCAAACCTGCTGTGCTATCCTGCTTCGGCGATATTGCGCTCGCAATCAGTGGAAATTTCGTGAAGTATCTGCCTTCAGCGCTTCAGATGCTCGAGCAAGCTGCCAGGACCAAGGTTTCAGGTGATGATGACGAATTAATCGAATATATGACTGCTTTGCGCGAAGGCATCCTAGAGGCCTACATAGGTGTTGTTCAAGGGTAGGCAAATTTGAGTCCATGCTCACATTTGAGTCAGAATTCCCAGAAACTCTCAACCAATCATAGGCTGAACGATGGACGTAATTGTGGTTCGATACGACCACACCTTGGCACTATCTTCCAATTTCTAGACGCTTATC